AGCATCTTTGACTTTGCACTGTTGACCAAGCTGATGTTTTTATGGTGAAGCTCTCTGGGACACAAACATAAACCCTTAATGAGATGTTATTTCACCTTGTTTGGATCATATATCAAGAGAATTTACTTTCACATTAAGGGTGAGGAAAAAGACAACATGGAACAAAACATCACATTTATATGTTGAACGCTTTTTTTTTCATTAATTGCATGTTGATACATCAGGTTAAGGTCTGCTAACCTCAACTCTGTGGTTTAGCGCAGGAAGTGATGGAAAGATAAAAAACATTGATTAAAGTTTCACTTCGACTTCATACAACAGCTTCATATGGATGCAGAGGACGAGAAAGTGAACCTCTGTTTCTATTTGTTCAAATTTACAGTTTTTAAACATTCTCTCTCATCTAGGTTTTCCAACTCTTATGACGGCCTGTTTGAATTTCTAGTCTATGATCACTGAGACTGTACCTTGTTCACGTGTCCTGTTTGGGATTTTTAACACTTTTAACATTCTAACTTAACAATGGATTTGATTTCCTTGTCAATAGTTTAATTTGTGTGACGGACATCCTCATCTGTGAGTGTTGGGGCTCGCATGTTTTTAAATAGTTCATGTTTTTTTATGCTCCACAACAGAGCTCCTCCTCCTCTCCTGTGCTTCCAGGAGGTCACCATCCTTTTTTCATGTTTACCATTATTGTATGCATAGAAGTGTTTGCATCTTGTGTGTTGTTTCTGTGTGATTTGACTATATAACAATTGATTGATTGATTGACTATTTTACAGATCATATTACTGCCTGTCGCTATCTGTAAATCTTTGTTACCAACCACATATGTTCCTGGGAGCTCCTGAGCTCAGAGGTCTTGTAGGTTCCTTGGGTTTGTTGGTGAGGACGGCCTGCTGCTGTGGTTAAAATTGGTAAGCTTGAATCCGCATATTATGCTTTGCTGCTTTGACTGCAGATCATCAAGACTGGATGGACAGACTAAGTCAGTGGTTCTCAAAATGTTTGTCTCATGCCCTCATTGGAGGAAGAAAATTACAACATTTTAAATGAGAATAATAATAAGAAGAAGATATCCTAAGGTGGCTCAGTGGCTTGTTCAGTGGTACTTCAGCAGTGCTACGGAAGTGAATGACCTGGCACCTCATCAGCTACCAGACCGAGGGACTGAATTCAGGAGAATCTGAGAGTTACCTGATGATACATTGATAATAGACATGAACATGAGACCTTGTGAGGCAACATAATGCAGTCTGGTTCATCACTATAAAAACCTCCTTACAGAAAGGAAATAAGCGAGCTGTCCAAAGGGTTCTTAAATGTGCAGTAATTAAAACCAAGACCAATGCATCATGGTTTGTGGTGTTACCAGGCTCATCATGTCTAGTATTCTCACTTATTTCCTTTGTGTGCAGAGCTGTGCATGCAAACACTTAGACAGAAACAGACATTTAAAGTCAGCGCTGAAAAAAACAAATGACACATGGAAACTTAAGCACTGCTGTGGTCAGGCATCAAACAGAGGTGTTAACACAGAGGGGCTTTACTTGTTCTCTCACTCTCAGTTTGAGGCCTGTCAACATCGACCTGCTCTAAAGTGTTAGTGTTTTAAAAGGGCAAGAGGGATGACATCACACGTTTTTGTTTTATGAATCTTTAAAATAGAAACTTACTTTAGAAAAAAGACTGATGGAGGGGTGGGGGTGCCTATTGTTGAGATGTTAGACTGTGGTCTTGAATCATGTTTACTCTTAAACTGGGAGCAGTGTTTAAGCAGCAGCCTGCACACATTATCAGTGACTGAATCCTCACATACCTTTACATGTATTAAGATGTCTTTAATTGCATCTTTTAAACACAATAAAAACAACATTTTTAAAAGTATGGAGGAGCTGTGCTGCACAATGCATACGTAAGAACCAATGTAATTATAAGGAATACGGCATAATACAGAAAGAAAACTGCACTGCTAATGAGCAAATGACCAAACACACCCTGAAATGATCCTGCTGAAGGCTAGTATTTCTCTCCCCTCTGTTCACATCCTGTTGAAGTTCATAGTTAGGCCTGTTCTGAGAAGACAACCTCAAAGGGCGGTCAAATGGCAGAGAAGCAGCCCAACAAACCCACCACAGCATATGCAGCGTTGCTTGTTGTTTTCACAGCAGATGTGCAGATTAACTTTTCACAATGCTTTTAGACCAGCAGACAAAATGCTTAAATATTTGAGGAGGTATCCTGTAGCTGTTTCAATCAATAAATAAATCTTTTGTTGTATAGCGTGAATTCATAACAAGTTTTTATCTCGAGACACTTTACAAAAAGCAGGTAAAAGCCCTTACTCTTTGCTATATTACAAAGACCCAGTGTTAATCCATCATGAGCATAGCACTTAGCAACATTTAGCAAAGTTACAGTGGCAAGAAAAAACGTTGTTTTCCTCATGATGAACAGCCATCTACTGAAACTTGAGGCAGGCTGTCCACCAACGATCCAGAGGACACTGGAACATGAGAGCTCAGGAAAATATGTGCTTAGTAACTAAGATTAACAGATAGCGACATTCAGTAATGTGATCTGAATGCACAGAGAGAGAGAGAGAGAGGGAGAGATAAGAGCTCAAGATGCCAGTTCCCCAGGTAGTCTAAGCCTATAGCAGCATAACTACGAGCTCATCTATACCTGCGCCAGCCCTTACTATAAGATTTATCAAAACAGAATGTTTTAAGTCTAGTCTTAATGTATATGTATGTAGTGCCTGTTTCTGTCATTATTGTGGCATAGTGCATATCCATAGGATCCTGTATGTGCATGTGTGTGTATATTTCAACCTATGTGTGTGTTCATGACTTACAGAGTGTAAAAACTGAAATTTCCCCTTGCGGGGATCAATAAAAGTAAATCTTAAATCTTAATCTTAATCTTGTTGAACAAGCTGGTGAGGAAGGCCTGCTCTGTAGTGGGTCTTGATCTGGACAGTTTGGAGACAGTGGGTGAGAGGAGGATGAAGGACACCCTCTCACCCTCTACATGGTGAGCTGTGGCAGATGGGCAGCTCCTTCAGCCAACGCCTCATCCCCCCCAGGTGCAAAACAGAGCGCTTCAGGCGCTCCTTTGTGCCCACTGCCATCAGACTGTACAACAGCAGCCTATGACAACAATAACAGTCCATCCTGACACTAAACTTCACCCCCATAAAACATTACCCACATGACCTGCTTCATTATTATTATCATTACTAACATTGTATTATTATTATTATTATTATTATTATTATTATTATTATTATTATTTAGCATCAATGTATATAGACATAAATACTGTACATTCTATATATTTTATTATATTATTATATTAGTCTATATTATATAACCTTTCATTATATTACACTATATTGTTCATATTGCACTATATTATATTATATTATACTACATTATATTATATAACTGCACTCTGCATTACTGTGGTACAACACTGCCTCTCTTCTCTGCTGTTTACATTACTTGCTGCTAGTTATCATACCAAGTCACTTTAATCATCACGTTTCACTTTATCTTTTCATTCTCTACAAATACTGTCTCAACTCCCTGCATAGTTAACTTCATCATTCATTTTGCATATACCCCCTGTTTTTATTTTTATTTATCTAATCTGTTTAATGTGTATTTTGAGCTTTCTTGTCTGTGCTGCTGCAACGCCCGAATTTCCCCTCTGGGGATCAATAAAGTATTATCTTATCCTATCCTGTTTTAAAACCCTTCAATAAAAATACATAAAAGAAGAATACAGAGTGCAGTCTATGTGCTACGAGCGATTGTAGCAGGAAACCACACAGGCACTGCTGTGCACCCTCTCCCCCAAATAATTATATCACCTGCAGTGTTCTCCCAGCAGAAGACACAAGGGTGGGTCTAACATTGTCCAATTACTCACAAAGCACATTGAGCAGTCATCTTCCAGATAAATCTGGAGCTCCATCACAGTCTAAAAATGTTTATTTCAGCAGCTAAAAGTTGAATTCTGTTTCCTCTTTAGAGTTTCCTCTGTCCTGTCAACTTCACATCTACAGTTTTTAGTTTTGCTGCTAAACTGTGCCATGATGTTTGCAGCTGTGGCGTGTGTTTATACTCTGTGTAGTCTTTATTAACATTAATGAATTTAATACTATTATTAAACAGTTGTTACTGCGCCTCAATCATTGATCTGAGAGGTTATTGTCAATGCTCTGCTTAATAAATATCAGTGTTGGTGATGACAACGATTGAGCCATGAAGTCACCAAATCATTGTTTTGCCAGGGAATACGAGACTTCTTTTCTTGGTCCTTGGGTCATCCTGGCTGCTCTGTTTTTCACTGATCTTTTTCAGCATGGTTGTTTCTTCTCTTAAGGGGCTTGGTTCAAGATCACAGTCATAACCTGAGGACATGTCTTGCTATTTGCTAACCTGTGCTCCCTGAATTAATTCAAACATGTCCAGCACAAGAAGTGCTGATGAATACATTTGTCTGCAGGGAGCTGACCCCATCCTGTAGGGTTTGGATGTCATTATTTATTTCTTCTTTATTTCGAACGATTAAAAAATAGATGAAAATGAAAATTATGCTTATCGAAATGCTAATTGAATAGCTATTTTTTTAATCACCTCTAAGGAGAGGTGGATCAGACAAGCGACAGTTTCTTGGAATGCTGTGTGGTCTGATTGAAAAGGAGCCTCGGTTCCCGGCTCACATAGGGTCGTGGCACACTTTCACCTCGTAAAACAGAAGCCTAGTGGCTGATAATTACTTTAAACTGCTTTGATATACAAATCTAAATTCGGTAGCAGAGCAAATCTGATCTGAAGTTTTCCTGTAACTGCATCAGAGACCACTCCACTACCAAACAGAGGTAAGCTGCTCCACTTTCCCTCTTTTTCCTGTAGTTTGTCCCCACTACAGTGCACTTTGTATGACCAAACATTACCCAACACAGAGTGAGCATGCCAGCTTCCAGCTTTAGTTTAGTGCACGACTGCATATATTGTTTATGGTGCTAATACTCTACCTTTGGTGATAAAACCAATCTAACAATGACTGAACACAGATGAGTCAAAACATGTCAAATCATACACAGTTCAAAAATTACAAAGGATATTCTCTTCTTATTGTCACATTGCTGCAAGGTTTTACATTTCTCACAGTCTTTAAAAATATACAAATCAATTATTTAATGTTTTAAGCATATCTTTTATTTAGCCAGTCGGAGGAGTTCTGACCCCGGTGTAGATCGTCTCTTCTGTTGCTGCTTTAACTTTTCTCTTCTCTCTTTTGTCCGTTCTAATCTTAGAAAAAGTCGGTGCAGAATAAACCAACGAGTCCTCAGCGCTCTGAGAAAATAACAAAAAATAGTTTGAAGTCAGTATGCTGTTGATAAAGCTGTGCAGAGTATGTATCATGAATTTAGTTTCAACAGCAACATGAGGGTGAAACTTTTGCCCTTTTAGAAATCAGCTACCTGAGAAAAAATAGTCTGAGCAGATATTTCTATAAACTTATAAAAAGCAAAACAATATTCCAACAAATGATTCTCGTTGAATCTTTTCTGAAGTATCTCACCTGCTGGCGTCGTCGATCTGCTGCAGGATGTGTTTGCAGAACTTCAGCAGCTGTGATATCAATTAAAAACAAAGATGTAAGTGTTTAATTTACACAAAGATATAGAGTTAATGTTTGCTCAATACTTTATTTTATTTATTGGAGATAATGTTCTGTTACCTTTGCTGGAATCACAAGATTTGGTCTTGATGATATGAATCAGGAAAGCTATAATAATCAAGCTTATAGCCAAAGCAGCTGATAACAGAAACAGAGCTATTACGGCCGTCTGATTGTTGGCTCCTGAAAACATATAAAAACATATTGTGTTAAGATGTTACACTAAAATCTTCCAGGTAGATTCAACTGTTTGAAAATGAATGTTAAAAAATGATTCATATTGAATGCTGTGCAGTTACCTTTGATGTCAATCTTTGTCCCTTTTCTAAACAATATCTCTCCACATGCGGCCACAGCACAGAAATAAGTCGAGGCGTCGGAGGAGTTGACGGTCTTTGAGAAGCTGTAGACACATTTCTGTGGAGAGTGAGCCTCTGGACTCTCCTCACATCCTCCAGATCTGTTTCCATGAGTGTAAATGACACTGGGATGATTTTCATCTGATCCGGCTCTGAACCAGAACACTCTGTGTTTCCCTGGACATGTGTTGTTTTCAGACTCAGAGAGAACAGAACACTGCAGAGTCATCAGGTCTCCTGGGTGGACTGGATCCTGTGAAATGTCTTGAACGACTGAGGTGATACTGGGCTCTGGTCCTGAATAAATTCAACACAAAGTAAATATGCTGGATTTGATAAAAATATTCAAAGTAGCTGCAGTTTAGAATTAGAAAGTATTGCTTATTCAGGGGAAGAGGTGTTAGGTTTTTTAAAGAAGTTGAAGTTTTTATTTACCTTTAATCTGCAGAAATGTTCCTTTTAAAACTGTCATTTTAATACTCTTGTTTCACACAAAAGTAAAGTCCAGTGTCCCGACTTTTACTCTATTAATAATCATGACAAACGTTCCAGGCTCTTTTTTGCTGTGAATCGAGAGTTTTTCAACTCAACAATCAATAAATTGGTTCCTCCCAAAACCTCAGGCAAATCCAGAAACGAGCCGGAGCCAGAATAATTGTGTTGAATACCAAGAAGCATCACGAGGACACGTCAGAGTCACATCATCTCCAACACCAACAGTCTTTGTCTCAAAGTTCTCATAGATGGTGCATCCTGAAGAAAATAAATATATGTCAGTGTTTAACAACAGAGAAAGATCATGTATGCTCTGTGCTAAAAATAAAACATATTAACCCTTAAAAGATCAGAATTAGACGAGAAGATTGGACATAAACTTACGAGCAAGTGTGAGCGTCAGTAGAAAAACAAGAACAGACTTCATTTTCTCCTTCGTCCACTTAATACAGCAGTAGAATGAACTCGTATGAGAAGCTGCTTCTCCTTCATAGAACCATATAAAGTAGGAGGGAACAATCACAGGGCAATCTGATTGGCCCTTCATTATGAGGGTATTACTTTAGAACCACAGTGGAAATTTTTTTGACCGTCTTTCAAGCTAAAGCACATGAAACAATAGCAGCAGCAAGCTTCTGTTTCAAGTTTTCATGGTGGGTTTCTGTACCTGCTGCTGAGCAGAAACACAATAACTACAGTTTTCTTCAGTATTTTTTCAAACTCAACCAGTGGGTCGTGAAAGCATCAACTTTCCCATTTTGGCAAATACGATGATGGATCTTTCGAACCAGAAGTGACCATATTTGGATCTGGATGTGGATACACATTAGTCCCTTACATGCAGCAGTACCCCCCTCTCTGTGTGTGGTTTAACATCCTTTTTGGAGTGTTCTGTGAGTGTGTGGAGTCACATGTCTAGCGAGTGGTCCCTCCCCTAAGGTATATAAGTGGCTGAGACTGAGTGATCTGTTTCGTCTTTTTCTTAGCGCTTGAGTGTGCACTGATGAGTCAAACAATCCCCACTGCTGGTGACCAGTCTACTGGGAGCTGCCGGATATTATCTGGTCTGCTGGGGCCCGCAGAGGTCTTGCAGTGCCATTGGCGTGGGAGTCCGCCCCCTGGATGAGATGGCCTGCGAGTTTCGCAGTCAGGGAGGATCCCGTTGTTCCCTGCCCTCATTCCACACCAGGGCGGAGAAGCAGCAGACCCCAAATCTTTGAGGACTCCAGTCCACTTGTGCCTCAAGTTCAAAGGTTCACAGACCAGGGTGTTTTTAGGCCATTTTAGGAGTGAGAGTCACCACCAAGGTGGCGGGGCAACGTTCTGCTCCCCCTCATCCAGGGACCTGCTGACAGCCTGACAGTATTACGACGTCATGTACAAGAGGTATTCGTGCTTAGGCACGGTTAGTCTTGTGTAGTGTGACCGCGGGCCTCGCCAGACAGCAGGGGAATGGCGCTGCGGGGGGGCAATCGTGCTTGGGTACAGCACGGTACGGATGGCGAGTGTGACCGCGCCCTTAGAGACCGTAGGTACCACGAGCAGGCCTGATAATGAAGGCTCTACCTCCCATGTACATTTAGAGACTGTAGGTACCACGAGCAGGTCTGATAATGAAGGCTCTACCTCCCATAGTACATTTAGAGACCGTAGGTACCACGTGCAGGTGATACTGAAGGCTCTACTCCGTAGTACATTTAGAGACCGTAGGTACCACGAGCAGGCCTGATAACTGAAGGCTCTACTCCCGTAGTACATTTAGAGACTGTAGGTACAGAGCAGGCTGATAACTGAAGGCTCTCCTCCGTAGTACATTTAGAGACTGTAGGTACCACGAGCAGGCCTGATAACTGAAGGCTCCACCTCCCATAGTACATTTAGAGACTGTAGGTACACGAGCAGGTCTGATAACTGAAGGCTCTACCTCC